AACCTAGTAATCTATGAATCTATGAATCTATTGCCGAGAGGATAAAACTGATGTGCCTTGAATCTATTTGCAAGAGATGTTGCTAGTGTCATCTATAACATCAAGACAGTGATAGGGATGAAGTAGGTAGTTCTTGAGGCTGAAGGAACATGTGATTCCAGCTGTTGCTTTTGCTGCTGAAAAATAGAACTGTAGCTTTGCAGAAGCTGTTTAGACATGGTAGTGCTGATTTTATTCTGGCTGCTGCTTGATGTGGATGTGCTGGTTGAACGTAGATAAGGCATATATTTACTTGTGTTTCCCATCCCCTGATGTTTTCTTGCCTATTTTTAGTTAATGCTGAAAACCCACCCATGGCTGTGGTTCGGAAATTTGTCCACTTGCTTGATCAGAGTGACCAAGATTTTCAGGAGGAGCTTGAGCTAATGAAACTGCGTGAGGAAGTTGTAACCTTGATCCGATCGAATCAGCAACTGGAAAATGACCTCAATCTCATGGACATCAAAATTGGGCTGCTAGTGAAAAACAAAATTACGTTGCAGGTAGGGAACGTGTTGATGGGAGACCAGCTACAGATTGAACTGAGCCCAGTGGTAGCATGGATTGCTCCTGGCCTTGGATTTCACTTGCTCAAGCCTAGTGGAAAATGTTGCCCTAGACTTGTATATTTTACTCCTAGCATGTTCTTACTCTATTCCACTAATTTAGTATGTATTCCTAGAAAGAAAGCTATAGGAGGAGAAGAAGCGAGACCTGAAGATAAAAAAGGCAAACACACACCAGGTTGTCTTGACCTAATGAATGCAACAGATTGTGTGTTTGAAGGCTGTGAGAACTCTCTCTTGTTCTTCCTTTGTGGTTAAACAAGTGACACAAGCTTGCAGCGAGGGGGATGACTTCAGAGGCAGGAGACACACTTATGCCGCTTGGTGTTTGCTGGTTAAAGGAGGCCCCCTCTATCACTTGGCTGATGTGATTAATTTAACAAAAAAGAGCTCTTGCTGATACAGCATTACCTTTTCTTCAAGCTGAAGTTCTGGTCAGCTTTTCATTTGCTCCCAGATGGCATGATGCTGTGTTCCTCCCAGTGTTAAATCTTGATTGGTATAGTGAAATTAATCTCTGAAGAAGACTGAAGCTTTTGGGCTTGTGCCTGCAGCAAAAAGTGCCACTGCTGTTGAAGTATGTAGAAGTAGCAAGCTAGCTGAGTATGAAACAGGATTTTTAGGTTTTAAGTCCAATTTAAAAAGGAAAACGTTTTCAAGCATCTTCAGGATGCTAGCAACTCTGATAGTAATTGCTTCCAAGAGTGACTAACCCTTCTAGGGTTTTGGAAAAATCCAGAAAGTCAAGGAGGAAGCAGAACATGTACTTCAGTCAGAGAAGTTGCTGTCATAGCAAATAATGCTTCACTTCAATAGCTCCAGGCATACTTTGACCCTGCCTTTCCATTTACAAGAGAAATGGGCTCTCAGGTGCAACTGTTTTCCAATATTGCCTGTTATAAAATGTTTAGAGTGGAATCTGTTCCTATTGTTTCTCTCCAGGATGTTGTTTCTCACAGCAAAAAACTTACCAAGAAGAACAAGGAACAGCTCTCTGACATGATGATGCTGAACAAACAAAGGGGAGGTTTGAAAGCTTTGAGCAAAGAGAAGAGAGAAAAGCTGGAAGCCTATCAGCATCTGTTCTACTTACTTCAGGTAAGCAGCTTCTAGTGCTGCTGGGTAACCTCTTGTCATAGAAGCTTGTATGTCTTGGCACAGTCTTTGCTTATGCACTGTGGCTTGGAGCCACCATAGTTCTTAGTGACACTGGCCTGTGTGGACATGCACACTAAGTAATTTTTCTTGTTGTTGTAGACTAACCCAACCTACTTGGCCAAGCTGATTTTTCAGATGCCTCAGAACAAATCCACAAAGTTCATGGATTCTGTCATCTTCACGCTGTATAACTATGCATCCAATCAAAGAGAGGAATACCTGTTGTTGCGGCTTTTCCAAACAGCGTTGCAGGAAGAGATCAAGTATGTGGTAGCATATGGTACCTTCTTGCTGTCGAATCAGTTTTGGCAATTTCTTGAATTGAGGCAGTTTTCACATTATGTCTCATGCTAATATGCAGATAAACCTAAACTGTCCCTTTATTGTCCTCTTCTTATTTCATATCTGTTCTTAACATAGTCTATAACATAGTCTGTACTTGAAGAGCAGGTTCAGGAACATCTGAGGAACTTGAAGGTGCACAAGTCCATGGGACCTGATGAGATCCATCCGCGGGTCCTGAAGGAACTGGCGGATGAAGTTG